AAAGAGGTTGAGGTGCCTGATCCTAAGCCGCAACCAGTGGTGAAGGAGTATGAGTTTGCCAAGTTCATGGCAATGCTGAAGCAGGTAAACATAAGCATGCCCTTCGTGGAGGCATTATCGAAGATGCCCAAGTATGCCAAGTTCATGAAGGATCTCCTTACCAACAAGAGGAAGCTTGGGGAGCTGTCAACGGTGATGCTCAACGAGGAGTGTTCTGCCATCCTACAGAACAAACTACCAGAGAAGCGAAAAGACCAAGGGAGTTTTACTATTCCTTGCATGATTGGTAGTTTGCATATAGGAAATTCCTTGGCGGATCTAGGCGCTAGCATAAATGTCATGTCATATAAACTGTTTAAAAAGCTAGGCCTAGGTGAACCCAGTGATACTAGGATGAGCATTCAACTTGCTGGTAGATCCATTGTGCATCCTAGGGGCATTGCAGAGGACTTGATAGTCGCAGTAGGTCCATTCTCATATCTTGTTGATTTTGTGATTCTTGATATAAATGAGGACGTGGATGTGCCTTTAATATTGGGTAGACCTTTTCTAGCCATCTCCAAGGCGCTTATTGATGTGAATGATGGTAAATTGATTTTGCGAGCTGGAGGGTGAACAAATCACCTTCTTTGTTTCTGATAACATGAAACACCCCCAGCTTCATGATGATCTAAACTACTGTGATGTCATTGCTGATTTTGAGACCACACTCGCCATCACGAGTGCGGGTACTGACGATTTCCTCGAGCGTTGTCTTTTGCTAGGGGAACAGGCATCACAGGAGTTGCAGCTGGAGGAGCAGCTCGCGGAGCTAGACGAGGCCGCGATCGAGGGGTGAGAGAAACCATTCAAGCCGATCCCTATCTCGCCCTAGATCACCAAATCATTGGAGGAGCCACCAAAGCTGGAGCTTAAGCCCCTCCCCTCTCACCTGGAGTATGCATTTCTCCTGGAGGGGAATAAGCTCCCGGTCATTATCAGCTCAGTCCTGACCCCCGAGCAAAAGAACAGGCTGGTGGCTTTGCTGCAGAAGTATGCCCGGGATATGTCGTGCAAGATAACAGATATCAGAGGCATTAGCCCATCCTTCTGCTCCCACAGAATTCTGATGTAGTATGTGGTTAAGCCAGTCAGGAAGTCACAGCGAAGATTGTCTCCCAACTTGGAGGCAGTGGTCCGGGCAGAGATCGTGAAGCTAATGGATGCAGGGATCATCTTTGCTATATCTGATAGCAAGTGGGTCAGCCCCAGTCAGGTGGTCTCGAAGAAATGCTGGATGACTGTTGTCCTGAATGAGAAGAACGAGCTGATCCTGATGCGAACCGTGACCGGCTTGAGAGTCTGCATCGATTACCAGCACTTTCATTGATAAGATGCTGGAGAAGTTGGCTGGCCATGAGTTTTATTGCTTCCTGGATGGCATGTCTGGTTATTTCCAAATCCCTATAACACCAGAGGATCAGGCGAAGACCACATTCACTTGCCCCTTCGGTACCTTTGCTTACCCAAGGATTCCATTCGGGCTGTGTAATGCACCGGCGACCTTCCAGAGATGCATGCTGGCGATCTTCGACCGACTGGTCGGTGAGATATTGGAAGTCTGGCGGTGCTTCATTAAAGACTTCTCAAAGATTGCCCAGCCTCTGACCAAGCTGCTGGAGAAGGAAGCACCATTACAGTTCACTCCTGAGTGCACAGCTGCATTCGAGACATTGAAGGAGAAGCTTACCCATGCACCCATCATGGTGACTCTTGACTGGTCTCTTCCCTTTGAGCTTATGTGCGATGCGAGTGACTATGCAGTCGGAGCAGTTCTGGATCAGAGACACGAGAAGCTTTTCCAGCCGATCTATTACGCGTTGAAGACCTTGAACTATGCACAGGAGAATTACACCACCACTGAGAAGGAGCTCCTCGCTGTGGTGTATGCATTTGATTAGTTCCGACCATATCTGGTGCTCTCCCATGTGGTGGTCTACACAGATCACTCGGCAATTCGCTATATGATGAGCAATGCTAATGCAAAGCCTAGGCTCATCCGCTGGATCTTGCTTCTGCAGGAATTTGATATAGAGATCCGGGACAAGAAAGGAGTCAAGAATGTTGCTGTAGATCATCTATCACGGTTGGAAGCCCCTCCGGTGGACAACTTCGTGGAAGAGATCGATGACTCCTCCCCGGGTGAGCGATTGCTGGCGATGACATTAGTGGACAGAGTGGCCCTTTGGTATTTTTACTTTGCCAATTATCTGGTGGGCAAGCAGCTACCAACGAGGATGGCCACTCATGCAAAGCGCAAGTTCTTCTCCGACCTAAAGCATTAATTCTGGGAGGATCCTTACCTCTTCTGGATCGGAGCAGATGGCGTGATCCAGCGCTGCGTCATGGAGCACAAGATGGGAGACATCCTGTCTCAATTCCACGAGGGACCTACTGGAGGTCACCATGGAGGAAACCGCACGGCGTGGAAGGTGCTACAGTCGGGCTTCTATTGGCCCTCACTCTTCAAGGATGCAGACACCTTCACACGACAGTGCGACCGCTGCCAAATGTCAGGTAACATTTCTTCCCGGGATGAGATGCCCCAACATATTTCTGTCATTTGTGTAATTTTTGATGTTTTGGGCATCAATTTCATGGGACCATTCACTCCATCCTTTGGCAATTTGTACATACTGGTTGTAGTGGACTACGTCTCGAGGTGGGCAGAAGCTCAAGCCATGCCCACCAATGATGCAAGACGGGTCTGCTCATTTCTGAAGCAGCTGTTTTCCCGGTTCGGGACACCTCGCGCCATCATTAGTGATAGAGGAACCCATTTTCAAGGGCAATTCACTAAGCTCCTCCTCGCTATGGTGTTAAGCATCAGGTGTAGGTGGCTTACCATCCCCAGTCAAATGGTCAAGCCGAGCTAACGAGCCGGGAGCATAAAAGAATAATTGAAAAGACAGTGGATCAGGCCCAAAAGGATTGGTCCACCAAGCTCGATGATGCTTTTTGGGCGTATAGGATAGCCTACAAAAACCTGATTAGTACTTCACCCTATAGGCTTGTCTATGGGAAGGCGTGTCATTTGCCTGTAGAGCTAGAGCACAAGGCCTTCTGGGACCTTAAGCTGCTAAACTTGGATTTGAGTGTTGCAGGTACTGAACGTAAGCTGCAACTGTTGGAGTTGGAGGAATGGCGTTACCACGCCTACGAGAACACCCTGCTCTATAAAGAGCGAACCAAGCGTCTCCACAATGCTCAGTTGAGGGGCCCGAAGGAGTTTCAGGTAGGTGATCGTGTTCTGCTCTTCAGTGCATGCCTGAAACTCTTCCCGGGCAAGCTACGTTCGAGGTGCGGTGGAGATCAGCAATGTTCAAACTGAGCCGTTCAAGGTGAATGGCCACCTCCTAAAGTTGTGGGGAGGCAACCCCACCACGGTTTGTATTCTTTTTTCTTTTCTTCTCATTGTTGTTTTTGGTTGAGTTGTGCATGTGTGGAGTCCAAAAAAAAAAAAAACCAAAAACGGTGGAGCCAAGCTGTCTGTTTCAAGACCCGGCCCCAAACACGGCCTGTAGCACAAGGCCGTGTTTTTGCACAGAGATGTCGGGTTTCTGGTGGATTTCGCGTAGTGGGAACAGGGGAGGATTTGGCACACCCGCCCCATAACTCGCCCGTGTTTTTTTTAAGTGAGAGGTAGTGTTTTTTTTTAAGTGGGTGGTCGTGTTTTGAAATTTAAAAAACGCGACCTCCCCCTCCATCACGTATTTTCGTTCCCTGCTCCCCCCTCAAACCTGCCCTCCCCTGCTCGCCCCTGCTCACCCCACCACTTCCCCAGATGTCGCTGGCCGCCGCTGGCCTCCAGCCGCCCCCACGGCCGTTGCGCCCCAGTAGGCGACTCTCCCCCGCCCTCCACCGGTGCCGCTAGGCGCCTCCCCAGCCGCCGCGCCGTCCCTCTTCCCTATCACCGTCAGTTGCTCCTCAGCGCCGACGACCACTCTTCCGGCGTATCCAAGGCCCGCACCTTGTATTTTCAGGTGAGTTTGAGCTTCAATTTGTTCTTTCTCTTGGAAATTCGAATTCTAGGGATCTTGGTTAGGGAAATTGGGGGTTTTCGATTATTGGTCAAATTTGGGGTCAAAAATTCAAATCCAATGCAGCCCCCTGCCTTGTCCTGTCTTTTGATCATGCGTGTTGCACGAGTTATGTATGGTGGGTGACTTTTGGGTTTTGCTCGTCATTTTGAGTTATGCACACCTTGTGCTTGCTTGGAATTAGCTTTTGGGTGCCGTTGGTGGCTATAACTCGCCCGTGTTTTTTTTAAGTGGGAGGTCGTGTTTTTTTAAGTGGGTGGTCGTGTTTTGCAATTTAAAAAACACGACCTCCCCCTCCATGACGTATTTTCGTTCCCTGCTCCCCCCTCAAACCTGCCCTCCCCTGCTCGCCCCTGCTCACCCCACCGCTTCCCCAGATGCCGCTGGCCTCCAGCCGCCCCCACGGCCGTTGCGCCCCAGTAGGCGACTCTCCCCCGCCCTCCACCGCTGCCGCTAGGCGCCTCCCCAGCCGCCGCGCCGTCCCTCTTCCCTATCACCGTCGGTTGCTCCTCAGCGCCGACGGCCACTCTTCCGGCGTATCCAAGGCCCGCACCTTGTATTTTCAGGTGAGTTTGAGCTTCAATTTGTTCTTTCTCTTGGAAATTCGAATTCTAGGGTTCTTGGTTAGGGAAATTGGGGGTTTTCGATTATTGGTCAAATTTGGGGTCAAAAATTCAAATCCAATGCAGCCCCCCTGCCTTGTCCTGTCTTTTGATCATGCGTGTTGCACGAGTTACGTATGGTGGGTGACTTTTGGGTTTTGCTCGTCATTTTGAGTTATGCACACCTTGTGCTTGCTTGGAATTAGCTTTTGGGTGCCGTTGGTGGCTATGCACTCTCTAGCATGATCACCGTACTCATGGGTTCGTTGTTTTTGTGGATTGTTTCTAGGTTTGTTGCCTTGTGTGTAGTCTCTGCAGGATGAATCGCAATAGACGAAGCGATCGGGATCAACAAGGAAATCGTGGAGGTCGTGGACGAGGCAGGAATCATCCTGACGAACCAATCGAGTCTCCTATTCAGCTTGATTGGTGCGATATCATGTTGCTCGACCTGGAGGCTCGAGAGTTACTCACTCGGCTCTCTTCCCTACCTTTTGGCGAGTCTCGCTGTTTGGATTGGGACACCGTGTGTGCTGTTCGGGTTTCCAACTCCATTCATGACATGCTCGGTAATGGTGCATGGCGGGTCGTGTTTGACTTCAATGAGATCATCTACAGGGAGCTCACTTTGGAGTTCTTAGCCTCTTTCACCCTCACCAAGGACGGTTTGAAGCAGTTCTCCTTTCCCAATGGAATTACCTTTCGGCTTGGTGGCCAGCTTCACACAATGTCTCTTACCCAGTTCAGCATCACCATGGGTTTGTACTCCGAGCACTTTTTTCAGGGCCCCCTCTACTCTCAACTCAAGACTAAGCGCTCACTTGCTCCACATGCTGATTTAGATCAGTGCTGGTTCGATACTCTCACCCGTGTTGTGGTGGGGATGCCTTTTGACCAGCGCACTACCAAGGCAAGCATGCTTCACCATGATTTTCCGCTACTCTATAATGTCTTGAGTCATGGGCTTCTCCCTCTGCGTGGCAGCCCCGGTGCCATTAGCAACCGCCACCTCGCCATCCTCACCAGTCTTGCATGCTTCCGTCCCATTCATGCGGGCCACTCCCTTGTGCTGACACTGCACAACATCAACACCAGGTCGAACATCAGCGTGGTTCATGGTGGGGCATTTGTCACTCGTCTTGCTCGGCGACTCGGCCTTGATCCGGTGGCCATGGGGTGCACGCCCGTGGGTCGCACCATCCCGCTCTCTCTTGACCATTGGCAGGCTATGAAACGCCTGGATCCCCCCTTTGCGTACTTCAATGAGGATGGCCGCTATGACGCCCCACTGCCAGAGGTCCATCAGGCGGAGCCGCCACCTGCACCGCCCCGTGCTGCCCGGGCTCGTGAGCCCCGTCCGCCTCCGCCAGGCATGTCCTTTGGCCATCTTGATGCCCGCCTTGACCATATTGAGTCCATTCAGGAGCTCGTCCTCCAGCGTCTCGGTATCTCCTATGTGCCTTTCGGCCACTCTTCCGGGGCCTCCACCTCCAGTGGCAGGCCGTCTGATACCAGATCACAGGAGGATGGCGCCTGCCAGCCTGCCGAGGGTGACTACCCGGGCTCTGATTGATCTTGGCGCGGGCTGCTGCTTTGTTATGTCTTTTCATTTTCCACCAGTGACTTCGTTTATTTTATTTTTGTTTCACTTTTGGATTGTGCACATGGAACTATGGTTTGTTGTTTCTTTCACCTAGTGTGTGTTTTTTGACGCCTTTAGCTCTGTGACTTGGTCTGGTCCCCTTCCAGTCCCCTGCTCTTGACTGATCTGCTTTCCAGTCCCCGTTCCTGATCTTCAATTACTGGTAACATCGTTCCCCTTCCCTCTGCTCCATTGAGGACACTATCGCATTTAAGTGTGGGGGGTACTTTGTATTCATTGGAACGTATATGTGTGCTTGGAGCCTAGTCCGCTGTCCAAATCTTGAGATTTGAGGGCTCCAAGTACTGCTGTTTGCTTGATCGTATTGGCACTGTGGGTTTAATTGGTGAATTTAATGGCTTTTGAATTAATGCATGACAACTGGATTGAGACTAGGACAACCTATAATGATGACTGAGACGTGTAGTAGAGTTGTGTAGGAGTTCAGTTTTTAACTGTTTGCTTACCAATTATGACTTGGATTGATAACTTGTTCTTGACAGTCGTTTATGCATCTATCAGAATGAGAGATAGAGCATATAGGTAGCCATGTGAGATTTGAGCCTGCTCGTTTCTTTCTTGTGCGATAGATCCCTCTTCCATGATGTGTTGCATTCACGTTGTCACTAGCTAAGATGATGGAGGCATAGGATTAGCCCACGACCAAATTGTCTGTCCTGGTGTGTCATACACCCTAGTCAGCCCCTTTGAGCCGTGTACTTTTCTTTCTTTCGGTCTACAATGAAAAATCACCCTTTTGCATTTCTTAGAGGTTCCACAAAGTGGTTTTTGCAGGTTCTCTGCTGTTTCTGCTAAATATAATGTGAGGGTTGGAGGTAGTTCTTAAAAGTTGGAATGTGTTTGAAAAATGTGCAGAGGTGGTGGTTCTCTCTAGAAATGAAAAAAAAAGAAGAAAAAAATGAATGAAAGCAAAAGAGAGCCACTACCAAAAATTTGAATCATGCTCATTAATTAGTGTTTCTTAGCAGTCTAGCTTGGAAATACTAACATTATTGTGGCCTCCTTCGCTCTTGTGCTCTAAGTAATTTGAGTAATGCAGAATAGCAGAAAGAAAGTAGGTGGTTTGATGGATATGAATGTGTTGGGTTTGGAATTGGGTAACCTTGTGCTATGAATACTTCCACCACCTAAAAGGCTTTTTCCCCATGTCCAAGACCCTAGCCAGTCACTTGAACTTGTGTCTAAGACCTCCGAATTAGTTAGTGATGACACCCAATATGTGAACTCTAACATTTAGAGGCTGCTGCCATGGTGAAGAGACGTTAGGGAATGAGAGAATAAGCATGCGCATTTTTCGCATCAAATTATCCTGACCCCACTGGTCGATAGTGAGCGATTCATTTCCTTGTTCTTTATGCTCTTTACCCCGGTGAGGACCTAGATGGCTCGGTCTTAATTCTGATGTCTTGAGTTTGATGCATGCGATGACTATCTTGGTCAAGTGTTTGAGTCAACTCTATGTTGGTTGGTGAACAGAGAGGATTCCTCTTCCTTTACCTGATTTTGCTGCACTCGAATGTCTTCAGTGGTGGTTATCCAGGTTGCTACTGAAGTTGTCTATGTGTTAATGATCAAAAGCCAGTATGATTCATATGTTTTGTGCCGATATTGGAACTGGGTTTCATCAATCAAACTTGGAGATCATCATCCCAGAGCATATTTTCCTCATATTTATGAGTATGACTACTCTGATTTCTGTTTTCCTCTCTCTCTCGCTCTCTCTATGGAGTAGAACCCTCTCTCACTTGGGTATGAAGAACCCTAGTTCCATGTGTTAGGGATCTTGATTGTAATGACTTGGGATTGTTATACTGATTGATTTTAATCGATTGATGCATGATTCATTGAGTCAATTAAAGCCTGATCATCTTTTCTTGATTTCTGCTGCAACCTGAGATAGATAGAATCTGATTAGGTTGTTAGAGCTTCATCAATCGGTAGTGGTAGATTGGTTATTCGAGAGTTAATCGATTTACTGCTTTGCATTAGAATTCAATTCCAGTAGTGGAGTTATGTATTCATAGCCTTAGCTTTCTATCCCGGTGAAGACTAGTCGTCTGTTAGGTAGTTTGACTGAGAGGGCTTGGTCAGCTTAAGAGATTCAAAGCTACTGTCTGATCTTTCGCAGTTTAATCAATAGTTAATCAACCCAGGGTAATTACAACCTCGACCTAACTAAGGAGCTAGGGGGACTCATTCTCGAGTGACTCTTCCCTTGCTAAAGAACTTTGAACCATTTCCTGCTTTCTTACTGTTTTCGCTTAAACTCACAATCACTCAACTTAGTTTGATAGATAATAGATAAACACGGAGTAGGCAGTAGATCTAGACCCCGGGTTGATAATTAGAACTTGCCACTTTACTGCATTTCCGGACTGGGATTACACTTGGTCGCAGTTTGGTGTTGTGTTTTAGCGTGTCAGGAACCTAATCAAATAAATTTGTTTCTTGTCTCTCTGTATAAGCAACAACTGCATCACATGGATTAGGATTTCCTGGAGAACAATTGCAAGCAACTATAGGACTGAACTGTAAATACTCCTCCATCAACCCCTTAAACTTTTTGTAATATTGATTAATTGAATGAGTTCCTTGCTTGCATTTATGTATATCATCTTCCAGATTTGTGATTCTTATAGCATTGGGCTTTCCATATCTTCGCTTCAACTCATCCAACAGAACTCTAGCATTCACATGACTCATAACCGACCTTCTGAGATCATTGTTCAGAGAATTGAGAATCCATGACAGCAAAGCTGTGTTATACCCATCCCACAAAAGAAAGTTTGGATCAGTTATAGGAGGCATAGGTATCGTGCCATCAATGAAGCCCAATTTGTGCTTCATTTTCAAACCCATGATTACAGAATGACTCCATATAGTGTAATTACTACCATCGAATTCCTCAGACTCTATAGATTGATTCAAGGCCACATTAGAATTCAGATAGTAAGGATTACCGAATGTTATGACGTCATTTCTAGCTCCAGCGAAGAGTTGTTGCTGCTAATCGTCGAACGTCCCAAATTGGAAAGTGCGAGGATCTAACCCATTTCCTCTAGACTGACTTCCCGTCGACGATGAAGTCTGGCGTTCTTGAGATCCTTGAGATCCTGGCGGTGGCGGAGTGTTAGCCATGGTAACCCTAGTTGCTTGACCGCTCTGATACCATAAGAATGAGATAGGTTTGGCGAATTGGAAAACGCTCAGAAAACCCTGAGAGCTGCTCTGCTTTCAATATATAGCAGTGTGCTCTGTTAATCAGTAGCACCTTAACGACAACCACGTGGCAGAAGGCCAGTGGCAACTACAAACTGTAATAGTATCTTAACAACGACTAACTAGCCTTAGGAAAATGACTGCGTTCTAGTAAATAAACAGAGCAATAAAAGAAACTTCAACAACAACGTTTCTTCTGTGAAACTCCTTCTTCTCCACTTCAATCCACATTGCATCAGACCTTCTTCTCCATCCTTCTTTTTCAGTTTTTTGACAATCATATAAGAAACGCAAAAACCAAAAGAAGGTAGGATGGCGATTTGAAATCCCATTATCGAAGGATGCAAACAAGGGGGTATTATAAACGCGCTGCTACGGATCGGGAAATCGCCGGAATCAATTACAGATTACAAATTACAAAGAAGTATGAGAAGTATTTATAGTACTTCTCCACATGTGAGTCTAAACATAATCCAATCTGGCAAAGAAAACGGTTACAGACCAGGCCTAGAACCCGAACCCAAATAACATTGAGCCCATACACCGTGGGCCGGGGGCGTTGCCCCCGCACCCCCACCGGGGCGTTGACCATGGACCCCACTCGCTGCCCGGTCAGCGAGACCCCCGATTAACAGTCGTAGGGGCTGATAGTTCGATTCAAGTCACATCAACAAATCTCCACCTTGACTTGAATCCTCTTCCTCTGAAATCTCTGATGTACTCTGATCCTTCTATCTCTCTCTCCCACCATCAATGCCCCGCAGGGCGGAGTCACCCACTCAAGACATTCAGCAAGTCCAAGTAGTGTTGGAACTTGCCATGTGGAACTGGCTTCGTGAACATATCAGCAGGATTATCCGCGGTGCCAACCTTCTTCACCTTAATCCTCTTCTCCGTCCTCAAGAAATGATACCTCACGTCGATGTGCTTAGTCCTCTCATGGTGGATTTGATCCTTGGCCTAGCTATTGCACTCAAACTGTCGCAATACACCACTGCCTGATCATGATGTAGACCCAGATCACCAACCAGTCCCTTCAACCATATTCCCTCCTTAGCAGCTTCTGTCAACGCCATATACTCTGCCTCAGTAGTAGACAATGTCACCGCCAACTGCAAAGTTGCCTTCCAGCTCACTACAGAACTCCCAAGAGTGAATACATAACCGGTCATCGATCTCCTCGTGTCAACATCTCAAGCATAGTCCGAGTCAGAATACCCAGACACCAAGCACTCTATATCACTTCCAAAGCTAATCCCCACATCAAGTGTACCCTTATGGTACCGGAAGATCCTCTTCACAGCGTGCCAATGCTCCTTCCCAGGTTGTATCATAAACCTGCTGACAACACTAACAGCATGTGCAAGATCAGGTCTAGTGCATACCATAACATACATCAAGCTACCTACTGCACTAGCATATGGGACTCTCGACATGTACTCCTTCTCAGCCTCTGACTGCGGTGCATAAGCTGAGGATAGATGAACATTTGAAGCACTGGGAGTATTTAAGGGCTTTGCTGAAGACATGCCAAACCTCGACAGTATCTTCTGGATGTAGCTCTTCTGTGACAAGAAAAGCTTCTTCTTCGACCTGTCCCTGTAAATCTCCATACCCAAGATCTTCTGAGCAGCTCCCAAATCCTTCATCTCAAACTCAGCATTGAGAAGCCCCTTTAACTTCTGGATATC